TCAAGTTTTAATCTACAGAGGTCATTAATATAAATAAGAAATAAGGTAGGGCCTAGTACACTGCCTTGAGGCACCCCAAAGGTTATTTGAAGGTCATTACTGACATAATTGCCTATTCTAGTGCTTTGCGTTCTGTTTCTTAAATAATCTCTTATTAATTCTAGTTGGGCTTCCCTTATACCCATCTTTTCCGACTTCCTAACAAGCATGGGAACAGAGACGGTGTCAAATGCCTTTTTTAAGTCCAAAAATATAGCAAGACATTTTTTGTTTTGGTCAAGGTGATCAACAATATATGTAGTTAAATCTATGACAGCGTTCTGTGTGTTTTTTCCTCTTCTAAATCCATATTGTGTTTGCGATAGAATATTATATTTATCTAAATACCGTATTAATCTGTTATTAATTAATTTTTCTAAGATTTTGGAAAAAGCTGGTAAGATGGAAATTGGCCTATAATTATTTATATCATCTCTGCTCCCATTTTTGTATACAGGTGTAATAATAGAACGTTTAAGGAAGGCTGGAAATACACTTTTAGAAAAACAGAGGTTAGCCAAGTGACAAACTATCGGCACTAATAAAGAACTGGCCAATTTCACAAATTTTGTGGGTATGTTATCATAACCCGGAGTGCTATCGGATTTTAAGTTCATGAGTATACTAAGAACTTCATTAGGATCAGTATCTACGATGGCGAAAGATGAGAGCTGGTTATTAATTAAGTGTGCTGCAATATGTATATTGTGATCGTATGCTGTGTTCTTTTGAATGTCATCGGCAAGCTTACGCCCAATATTTGCGAAAAAATTATTGACTGTATTAACTGATTGAGTCGGGCTTGATTCTATGTCTAATAATGCATTATTAGTAGTTTTATTTTCCTTAGTATGTGTAATATTTTTTATATTATTCCATAAGATTTTAGGGTTTTTTTCTAATAACAGTGTTCTTTCATATGAACGTTTTAACTTTTTAATACAGTTGTTACAGTAATTGCGATATCTTTTATAGGTTATTCTCAAAATTTCATCGAAAGGGTTGTTTTTAAGTTGTTTTTGCATTTTATTCCTATTTTGAATGCATCTGAGCACACCTGTAGTTATCCAGGGTTTAATGGTACGTCTACTTTTAGGAATACGGATAGTATTAGTGTTTTCATGTAGAGATTCTGTAATTTTGTTTATTAACATTTCAACAATTCTATTAGGATCATCGCATAATAGTAAAATAGATAAATTTTTATTAGCTAGGCTATTAACCGCCTTATTAAAATCGATATATATTTTTGTTCGCGGAGAAGTTTTTATTTCTTTAATTTTAGTTAAACTAAAGAACACCATATAGTGATCGGTGATGGATGTATTTATTACTGCTATATTTGCTTGTGTCTTCTTTCTATTTAATTTAAGGATAACATGATCCAGGCAACTATTTTCTCTGGTAGCAATTGTATGTCCCGGTAACAAGCCGAAAGTAGAAAGGACATCTAGATAGTTAATTCTATTCTTTTGTTCACTATTTAGTTCATTAGGTTTTGGAATAAGATTTATGTTGATATCTCCAGTAATAATTATATTTTGATTGTTTTTAATGGTGTTGAGATGTTGTCGCAAAGATTCAGTAAATTTTTCAGTATTTGTATTAGAGGGTGATCTGTATATACCTAATATAATATTATTAAAGATTTCTATTTGTAAGCAAGATGCATGCTCTAATTTTATTTCTTTTATCTTAGGTTTAAGATTATTTTTATAGTAAACTGTTACTCCGTCATTTTGGTTAAGATGTTGCATAGTAACAAACGATGTGTAATTTGTAATTTGTGGCAGATGCTTATTGTTATCAAGCCTGCATTCTGTTAGAATTAACAGATCTACTTCAAAGGTAAGACTAGATAGTGTTAATTGCAAGTTGTCTAAGTTTTTATAAACACTTCTGATGTTCTGCGTGATAACTGTCAAGTCTTTTTTATTCAAACATATGAATTTATTCAAATCCTCAATATCGCATGATACAGAATTTGCAATTTCGGTATCGTCTATTTCTTTTAACATAATCAAAGGACTATCCATCATCAAAAATAATGGAACTAATAACACAGAATTTGTATAGATTCTGGTGATATTTGTTTATGGTTTCCCTAATGTATTTTATCATAATGTAACATAGTAAATATTTTATCGGTACATGGCCAGTTTTGTTTACAGACTGTAGCGAAACCTAGATTAACACGCCATAAAATGATTCTGTGTGTATGGTGGGATTGGAAGCGTATCGTTTAGCATGAGGTTTTACCGCCTGGTAAAACCATCGATTCGAATCTTTACTACCAACAAATAATGCGACAAGCAAGAAATAGAAAAAGAAAACGGCTGGCATTGATAATTAGAAAAGGAGTGGTCTTTCATCATGATACACGGTTATTACTGTAAAAGGAAACTATTTGTTGTTCATTAACAACAAAATACTTAATATAAACATAGGCAATTAACGCATATTATATTTTTTTATAGGATAGAGTGACAAACGAGCACACAGTCCACGTGATGGTAAGTGGTTGCTGTGGCCCATAGACATCGACATTTTTATCCTCGATTATGAATCAAAATGCAGATGCGTTGTCACCCGTGAGAACCAAGATGGATAGCCTCGTTTCTAGTAAAAAGGGTCTCCGGTTCTCTACACTCACCATATGAAACACAGAAGCATTGAGCTGCTATTTTACGCTGGTATTCTGTGAGAGCGTGGTCCTCCCCAGTCGAGCCGACCCATTCGTGTTAAAACTATACCAGTAATGTAGCTGCAGCATGGCTCTACTATGTAAAATTTCTAAACCAATGAACATTATATAATTGTTTAAATATTTATTTAGTTTTAAGTGAGGCTTAGCCATTTTTGATGAATGACAAGCTCGTGGAAACTGTCCATGCGGTCGGAGCTAAGTTCTAAGACCCGCCGCAGAAGAACACAAAAACTCTCCGATCACACTCTTAGTCTCATGGCTGTTAGACGGGAGATGAGGCTACATTCTTCAACAGACTTGACAGCATACAGGCATCTGAACAGACAGATCTCCAAATGCATGCGGCGGGACTTACGCAACTTCAATACAGCTCGTATTGAAGAAGCGATCGAGCGGAACCAAGGCTCCAAAGTCTTTGCCAGAGATCTGTCTGCCAGAAAGAGCCAACTGTCAAAGCTGAAGACAGAATGTGGCAGCATCGTTTCCGGGACACCTGAGATTTTGAGTGAGATTGAGAGGTTCTATGGGCAGTTGCACACGTCATCATTGGAGCCACATGCAAGTGTGAGTAACGATCCAAGAGCGAGTCTCATCCGACACTATTCCGAAGCTATCCCGGACGTCAGTCTGAGCGAGATTACAATGGCTCTCCAGCACCTTAAAAACGGCAAGGCCTAGGCGAGGATGGACTTATAACGGAGCTTCTGAAAGCGGGTGGAAAACCGGTACTTGAAGTCCTTCAGAAGCTCTTTAATTCCGTCCTCCATGGTGGCATTACACCGGAGGCGTGGAGCAGAAGTGGGGTGGTCTTGTTCTTCAAGAAAGGTGACAACACTCTCTTGAAGAACTGCAGACCGATTTCCCTTCTGAACCGCGTCTACGTGCTGTTTTCGAGAGTCATTACGAATCGTCTCGCGCGCAGACTTGACGACTTCCAGCCTCCCGAACAAGCCGGTTTCCGAAAGGGCTTTGGCACCATAGACCACATACATACCCTTCGGCAAATTGTACAGAAGTCCGAAAAGTACAATTTTCCACTATGTCTGGCGTATGTGGACTATGAGAAAGCCTTTGATTCCGTCGAAATTTGGGCGGTGCTGCAGTCCCTTCAGCGGTGCCAAGTTGACTGTCGGTATATCGAAGTGTTGAGGTACTTGTACAGTAGGGCTACGATAGCTATCCGAGTACAGAACCAGAGTACGAAACCTATCCAATTGCAGAGAGGTGTAAGACAGGGTGACGTCATATCCCCGAAACTCTTCACCGCTGCATTGGAAGACGTTTTCAAGCTTCTGGACTGGAAAGGATACGGTATCAACATCAATGGCGAGTACATCACTCACCTTCGATTTGCCGACGATATAGTCCTTATGGCAGAATCGCTGGAGGACCTAAGCTCTATGCTCAATGACCTCAATAGTGTCACCCAACGGATAGGTCTTAAGATGAACATGGACAAAACAAAGATAATGTATAATATCCATGTCACACCATTGTCAGTAGTTGTTGGGAGCACTAAGCTCGAAGTTGTTGACGAGTATGTTTACCTGGGACAAATAGTCCGACTAGGTAAGTCCAACTTCGACCGAGAGGTCAATCGACGGATTCAACTCGGCTGGGCAGCGTTCGGGAAGCTACGACACATTTTCTCGTCAGACATACCTCAAAACCTTAAAACGAAATTGTACAACCAGTGCGTGTTGCCAGTGATGACTTACGGAACTGAGACGTGGGCCTTCACAGCTGGCCGTATGAGGAAGCTCAAGGTCGCTCAGCGAGCTATGGAGAGGGCTATGCTCGGAGTTTCTCTGCGTGATAAACTTAGAAATGAGGATATCCGCAGTAGAACTAGAGTAACCGACATAGCCCAACGGATTAGTAAGCTGAAGTGGCAGTGGGCCGGCCATATAGCTCGAAGAACCGACAACCGATGGGGAAGAAAGGTTCTCGAGTGGTAGCCTCGTACCGGTAGGCGAAGTGTAGGGTGACCCCCCACGAGATGGAGTGACGACCTGGTAAGGCATGCAGGAAGTCGATGGATGCAGGTGGCTCAGGACCGTGCTTTGTGGCATTCCTTGGGGGAGGCCTATGTTCAGCAGTGGACTTATGAAAGGCTGTAATGATGATGATGAATGATGATAGCCATTTTTGCATACTCATGCATCACCTTCGCTGCATGATCGAACGCCGTATGCTTGCGCAATGTGTATTATAAAACTATTGCAGCCATCTTTAGCGCTTTTTTTGTTCGCAGCGGAACCCAGCCGTGAAATGACCGTCGTGGTCAATCCCCAGAAGTCACCCAACGGTACCATTACCAAGTGGGACCTCGGTACGTTCATGATTGACGCTCTTTTCGAGCCTAAATACTACAAGGCTGTCATTGGGTTGATCAATGTACCTAAGTAGTAGTATCGTAAACTTGTTAACATATATAGATAATGAACTCACTGTCGACGGAAACTAACTTACTTTTGTTTCATCATTATATTGTTCATTGGGTGACAACTCAGCGCTGTTATCGCCAAAGTAGGTATTTGAACATTTTAAAGTAGATACTCGAAAAGATAACTAAATTACGTCTATGTAAAAATAAATTTATAAAGAATTCCATAATCTTCAAAAACTTTATCTATAGACAATAGGTAATTAGGGCCTGTTTTAAATGTGAAGTTTTGTCTGCTAAATGTTAATAAGAGAATATAATATTATGCTATTTGTCATTCGTCTTGATATATCAGGACTGTTACCGTTATTGCAAATCGACGGACACAGAAGTGTCCGGAAAAAACCTAGATATATTGCTCCCGATTAAAACTACCGAATGAAACTTACTAATCAGCTTATAATACCTTATGTATTGTATTTCGACAACAGTTAAAATAGGTACCTAGATCATGAATTGTATTTATTTTTTTACAATAACGTAGAATTTTAGTAAAATAAAAAATATACTACAAATACAAATGTCTTATTTTTTCTTATACATCCACACCCCATAAATATTTAAAACGATAAGTATAACAGAATATAGAAACAGAAATAGAAACTTTTATATAAAAGCTTTTAAAAAAAAATTACTTCGCAAACATCCGAACTATAAAATAAAATGATGTGTCTTACCTAGTATGAAGAGCACCTCCCGCCCTCTCTCAATTGCGTGCACTATCCCCGTCACCACTAATCCCAGCACAGCAACACCACTACACTAGGCAAGACACACCACTAACGACAATATGACACGTGTTTCGCCTCTACACGAGGCATCCTCAGGTGAGGTAGACTCTACGGTGGCTGACCGTTAAGTGAGCGGTAAGCCAAAACAACTGCCTCTTATACAGACCGCTGACGCAACCGCTCCCTGCTTAAGGAGCGAGCAACCGCGTCATGTGATAAAACATGCGACCTATCACCGCCGGACTTACGCCGCCGTTTGTAAAATTAAAAACAGACAGCCACGCAACGCCTGCCTACCCTCCAACCACGCAACCAATCGCCGATCACCGTGAGGGTGACAAACGATCATATTGCGAGGCTGTCTGCTATTAGAGAGCAGGCTTAAAGATATTTAGGAGAGGTGAGTTAGAAACATTTGTTTGTTCATCCAGCAGTGCAACGTTACTGTTATTACTTTTTAATATTATTTTTTAATATTATAGTTATCTTACACGTATGTAAGACTTTAAAGGAGTGGTCGTTGGCTAGGTTGTGTCCAGTGTCCAAAAGATGTTTAGCAAAATGGTATGTATCGGGATTGCAATTCCTGTACGCGGCTAAATGCTCTTTATAACGTGTTTCAAAGTTGTGACCAGTCTGACCCACGTAAACGGCGTGGCATTCGTCACAAACACGTTTGTAAACACCCGACTTTTGACCAATATATAACTTATCTTTATTATTACATATATTTCTAAGAGGATTGTTTGCTTTGAACGCCACATAAACGCCGTTTTGTCGAAGAATATTAGCTACTATTTCAGATATGGGGCCTAAGTAGGTCATACTGTTCACATATCGACGAACACTTTGAGGTTGAACCGCGTACAGAGAGTTGCGAACAACATGCTTTTGTTTCTTTTTAATTAAATTGTTAATGAAATTTTTTAAAAAAACCGTTAGAGACCGTTATTTGATAAATTATATTAAGCTCTTTTAAATAATTTTCTTTACTTAATGGGACAGTGAACAAACGATTAATGTAACAATAAAAAGCGGCTAATTTATGTTGCCACGGATGACACGATGACGCGGGTATGACTGTGTCGGTATGAGTTGGTTTTCGATAAATTTGGAAAACATGTGACGATTCTTTTCTTGTTATTATTAAGTCGAGGAAATTAAGGGAACAATCTTGTTCCAATTCAAGTTTAAATTTAATTTTGTCGTGGACTCTATTTATTTTATTGAGGAAAACATCCAGTTGTCTCCTTGTGCCAGTCTAGCAAATAATTATGTCGTAGTAGTATCGATAGTAATAAAAGATATTTTGATTGACCACTATATGTTGTTTTTCGAAATTATCCATGAAAATGTCCGCCATAAGGGGACTTAGAGGGGACCCCATAGTTAACCCTTCTTTTTGTAGATAGAAACGGTTATTAAACCGGAAATACTTTTGTTTCATACAGAGAGATGTTAAGTTAACAAGATCATTTGTTTCCCCGGGATGTAGACGACGTTCATCAAAGAGATCTGCGAGTATACGCAAACAGTCGGGGGATGGGACATTTGTGAAAAGACTATCAACGTCTAAAGATGACAATTTGGATTTAGGAGGAATTCGGATATTTTTAATTTTGGAAATGAGATCTAAGCTATTTTTAAAGCTGTAAGTGGGGTTGAATCCATATTTCTCTCGAAGGAGAAAGTTTAATTTTTTGGCAAGGAAATAAGCTGGTGCACCTATATATGAGACAACTGGACAAATAGGAACATGTTCTCTAAGTATTTTTGGTAACCCATATAAAATGGGTGCTTGAGGATTCATTGGAACAAGACTGCTCCGAGACAAGTTGTGATCGGGAAAAACATATGATGACTGTTGTATACATAGCTTAATATCCGAAGTAAACTTTTTGGTTAGGTCAGACTCCAATAGCTCAAAGTCATCACATTAGATAACATCGTTAACCTTCCGGCTGTACCCGCTACTCTCCATAATGACAACAGTATTGCCCTTATCGGCGTTAGTAACAATAAGGTCGTTTTCCCTTATTCTCTGCCTTAGTGACTTAAAAACAGGGAACTCAGGATTGCAATGGGAAGACGCGGGCACAGCCCGAATTTCATTAGCTACCAAACTTTTAACGATGTTATCTTTTTTTGGGAGACCGAAGGTGCGGTGCGGGCCGAGGCGCGGGTGGAGCGCTCCCTCAGTGAAGATAACGCATAATTAATTGAAACAGAACTTTTTTTTTATGGAATAAGGGTGACAAACGAGCACACAGCCCACCTGATGGTAAGTGGTTGCTGTGGCCCATAGACATCTACATCTATCTTCGTTTACGAATTAAAAAGCATATGCGTTGTCACCCGTGAGGACTAAGATAGAATGCCTCTTGTCCAGTAAAAAGGGTCTCCGGTTCTCTACACTCACCATACGAAACACAGCAGCATTAAGCTGCTATTTTACGCTGGTGTTTTGTGAGAGCGTGGTCCTTCCCCGGTCGAGCCGACCCATTCGTGCCACAACTATACTATTAATATAGCCGCAGCATGGCTCTACCACGTAACTTACATCTGTTATCTATAATACGATCGTTGCTGAAAGATGAAAAAATATGAGGGAGTACTTTACAAGGCAGTCGCGTTGATGCAATGAATATATCGTACGTGTGTCTAAAACCCTCGTGAATTAAACAGAGGGCAGCCGTACAAAGTTGGGTGCAAGCGGGATAAGGGATAGGGGGGAAATTACAAAACTTGGTTTTAACCGGTTTATTCTTACTACCTAAACCTAAATTTGTGGAAAACCGGTATTCCGCAATAACCGGTTTTGGGGTCAATGACCGAAAACGATTAAGAATTTCAACCGGTTTCCGAGCCCTGGCTCCCTGTCTGTCCGTTAAGATTGTACTGTGACGCAAATATATGAAAATGGTTCACACTACATGTGTGGTAAAAAACTGTGGGTCATCCTCATTTAAAGATAAGGAATTAAAATTTCATCAGTAGGTATAACAGAAACAGAAACTTTTTTATTCAATATAGATTATAAATAATTCTTATTGAAAGTCACTCTTTTGTTTGATTACCACTGGTTCGGAAAAAACCTCTGTCCTGGGAAGAACCAGCAAGAAACCCAGCGGGACCTTTTTTTTAAATAACAGCTTACAATCATGATGTTACACAAATTAACAACACAACAAATTAGAAATAGCTTGGTAGCGATCACCTCATTTCCAGGGGTTATTATCATCCATAAATTCCTTAATATTATAATAACCCTTTTTATACAAACTTAGTTTAATAAAGTTTTTAAACTTTGAGCAGGTCAAACTTTGTACATTTTCTGGAATTTTGTTGTAAAAGTGTATACATCGCCCTAAGAATGAATTACTGACTCGATGGATTCGAGTAACTGGTACTACTAGCTTGTGTCTGTTCCTAGTATTTACAGAATGAATATCACTTATTTTTGTAAAACTACTTTTATTTTTGTGTACGTACATTACATTTTCATATATGTATTGAGAGGCCAAAGTTAATATATTAATTTCCTTAAATTTTTGTCGCAGCGACTCTTTAGACTTTAAATCATAAATTGCTCTTATGGCCCTCTTCTGTAAAACAAATATAATTTCAGTGTCAGCTGCGTGTCCCCATAGCAAAATACCATACGACATTATGCTATGGAAATAGCTGAAGTAAACTAGTCTAGCTGTTTCAACACTGGTTAGACTTCTAATCTTTTTTACAGCATATGCTGCAGAACTAAGTCTGCTTGCTAGTTTTGATATATGGGGGCTCCATTGAAGCTTCGCGTCTAGTGTGATTCCAAGAAAAATGGGGGTATCTACAAGACTCAGTTTCTCCCCATTTAAAATTACATTAGTATTTAATTGTTTGACATTTGGAGTCACGAATTTCATACATTTCGTTTTAGTGTCATTTAAATGCAAATTATTAACATGGAACCAATTTACTAATTTAGATATAGCATTATTTACATCGTCATATTTTAATAATTGTCGACTTAATTTGAAAATTAAAGAAGTGTCATCTGCAAATAATACTATATCATGGTTATCCCCTACTTATTTAATTGGGTAGGTATTATTTCTGAACATTTATCGTCTGATTAATTTATATAATTTGATTAAACCTGAAATAAAACAAAATCAGTTTTTAATTTTTTTATTACATTCCGTTCTGACAACTCTAGCAATTTATTGTTTGTGTCGGCTTTTCTGACGACATCAAACTCGATGACTGACTGTATGGCCAAGAACACACTAGCGGCATGCCGTATTTCGGCTAATAGCATCGTCTCAGTTCTATTGCGGTCCGCCGCAAATCTTCAGTGCTTCGAGATACATATATTGGACATAATGGACATCGATTAAGTTGCTGCAGTTATTTATTTATATCGATTCTAGTATGTTAGATTTAAATCGAATCGGAGATCGATGTTTCTTTAAGCGAATCAACATGCCTGGCTTGCGGCTTACTGCGCCGAGTGCGTTGTGCGAGTAATTGACGGCTGGCCGCAAGTCAGTGCGTCGATATCATGCGGTTTCATATGAAAATCGAAGTGCGTGCTGCCACACTGGCATGCCGCATCACGGCCAGCCGCTAGTTCGTTCCTGCGCTATGTGCTTCCCAGGCTGTGGTCCGGCACTATGAAGAACGCCGCCTACGGTAGTGGGCTACATACCTAACTTAACCGAGTGACCTTGCTCAAAGCGCTAGAACGTGCTAGCTGCTGGCCGTAATGCAGCATGCCGTCGCGGCAGGACTCACTTCAATTATTCGATAATTATATAATATTATTTCTTTTTATTTTTCTTTCTTAAGAAAGAAAAAAATTATATAATATAACTGCAGCCACTTCTTCGATGTCCATCGTGTCCAATATTTCTAGAATCACTGACGATTACGACGAAACGCAATACAACCGAGACGCTACGGTTAGCCGGAATACGGTGTGCCGCTAGTGCGTTATTGCTCTAACAATAATATTATAATGTGCGTTATAAATTGTAATATATTATTTTGTGCTATTTTTTTCTCTTCACCTACAGTGAGATATTTACCTACAGTCACAAAATTACAACACTATACTTATTGCTTAGGTACATTGACTAATCCTACGACAGTTTTGTAATATTTAGGATCGAATAGGGCGTCAATCATGAACGCACCGAGGTCCCACTTGGTAATGGGCCCGTCGGGTATTTTCTCAGGATTAATATAAACCTTCATTTCACGGCTGGGTTCCTCTGCAAACGAAAAAAAATCCGCTTAACAAAAGATATAGTTAATAGTTTTTTTTTTAAGAACTAAAATTACAAACGAAACGAACAGTCAAGTCACCCAACAGATGGTTAGTGGCTATGCAGCCCATGGATACTCCCGCAACCCACTTTAAACAAAGAAGGCTTACAAATGCTTTGTCACCTCTGAGGAGAGGACTAAGACAGAATACCTCACAGACTGTAATTTAACTGCATTTAAGCCGGAACACAACAGTGTAACTAAAAGCTTTTACAAAAATTTACTTCGCAAATATCCGCGTTATAAAATAAAATGATGTGTTTTACCTAGTATGAAGAAGCACCTCCCGCCCTCCCTCAATTGCGTGCACTATCCCCGTCACCACTAATCCCAGCACCGCTACTTCCAACACCACTATACTAGGCAAGACACACCACTGACGATAATACGACACGTGTTTCGCATCTACACGAGGCATCCTCAGGTGATATAGACTCTACGGTGGCTAACCGCTAAGTGAGCGGCGAGCCAAAACAAGTGCCTTTTATACAAACCGATGATGCAACCGCTCTCCACCTAAGTAGCGAGCGACTGCGTCATGCGATAAAACATGCGACCAATCACCGCTGGACTTACGCAGCCGTTTGTAAAATTAAAAACAAACCGCCGCGCAACGCCCACATTATTAGAGAGCAGGCTTAATTACATGACGCAGTCGCTCGCTACTTAGGTGGAGAGCGGTTGCATCATCGGTTTGTATAAAAGGCACTTGTTTTGGCTCGCCGCTCACTTAGCGGTTAGCCACCGTAGAGTCTATATCACCTGAGGATGCCTCGTGTAGAGGCGAAACACGTGTCGTATTATCGTCAGTGGTGTGTCTTGCCTAGTGTAGTGGTGTTGGAAGTAGCGGTGCTGGGATTAGTGGTGACAGGGATAGTGCACGCAATTGAGGGAGGGCGGGAGGTGCTTCTTCATACTAGGTAAGACACATCATTTTATTTTATAACGCGGATATTTGCGAAGTAAATTTTTGTAAAAGCTTTTATATAATGGATTTCCGCAAAGTAACGCCTGATTCTATTAATTATAACAGTGTAACTGTTATTTGTCAGCAGAAGTAGAACAAAGAGTGGTTCATACACGGACGTGTTTCCTACACGTCTGTGCTAGCCAAAAAAAGTCATAAATGGTACAGATCAGATAGTCTAATTTAAAAACGTGCAGTTTTAAATTAGACAATCCTTATTAGCGCAACCCTGTTCATGATTGCCTCCGAGAGATACGTTTTAGTATATGTACTTGGTAGAGCCATGCTGCTACTATATTAGTTATAGGTTTAGCACAAATGGGTCGCCTCGACCGGGGAAGGACCACGCTCTCACAGAATACCCGCTTAAAATAGCAGCTCAATGCTGCCGTGTTTCGTATGGTGTGTGCAGAGAATCGGAAACCATTTTAAGATAATTAATAGAATTTGGCGTTACTTTGCGGTAGTCCATTATATTAAATATGCCAAAAATTACTTTGCGTACATCCGCTAGATAAAATAAAATTATGTGTCTTACCTATATAGTCCAAGGGGGAGGCATTGACCGTTAGTTTGGACATAGCGAAGACCTTCGATCGGGTCTGGCACAAAGCGCTTCTTTCGAAGTTTCCTTCCTATGGGCTTCCCGAGAAATTGTGCAAATGGATCACCAGTTTCGGAGCACCAAGGTCGTAGTAGATGGTGCATGCTCTGATTTCAAGCCTATCAACGCTGGTGTTCCACAAGGCTGCGTGCTATCACCGACGCTGTTTCTCCTGCATATCAATGATATGTTGCTAACTGGTAGCATTCATTGCTATGCAGACGACAGCACTGGTGCTGCTGAGTACCGGGACAAACTTGTGTCTGAAGTCGAGTCTTTGCTTAACAAAGTCTCGGATTGGGGCCGACTAAATCTAGTCCAGTTCAATCCCCAGAAGACACAAGTTTGCGCGTTTACCGCTAAAAAGAACCCCTTTGTCGTATCTCCTCAGTTTCAAGGCACTCCCCTTGCTGCCTCAGCTAGTATCGGAATCCTTGGCGTCGACATATCGAATAGTGTGCAGTTTCGTGGTCACTTGGAAGGGAAGGCTAAATTGGCCTCTAAAAAGCTTGGCGTGCTCAGCAGAGCGAGACAGTATTTCATGCCGGCATTTATACAAACCGCTGACGCAACCGCTGCCTGCTTAAGGAGCGAGCGACTGCGTCATGCGATAAAACATGCGACCAATCACCGCCGGACTTACGCAGCCGTTTGTAAAATTAAAAACAAACCGCCGTGCAACGTCCGCCTACCCTCCAACCACGTAATCGCCGATCACCGTGAGGGTGACAAACAATCATATTGCGAGGCTGTCTGCTCTTAGAGAGCAGGCTTAAAGATATTTAGGAGAGGTGAGTTAGAAACATTTGTTTGTTCATTCAGCAGAGGTGCTGGGATTAGTGGTGACGGGGATAGTGCACGCAATTGAGGCAGGGCGGGAGGTGCTGTTCAAACTAGGTAAGACACATCATTTTATTTTACATAGCGGATGTACGCAAAGTAATTTTTGGCATATTTAATTTAAGGAAACCATTATTACTGGATACGAGGCATTCCATCTTAATCCTCAGGGAAGACAACACATCTGCATTTAGATTTTTAAACGTGGATTAATTTTGATGTCTATGGGCTATATAATCCACTTATCAACAGGTGGACTGTGTGCTCGCTTGTCATCCTTATTCTATAAAAAAGTGCACTGGACAAACATCGAGAACCAAACAGATATCGTCAACCCGTCTGCCAAATGTGGCAACTTTAGTACATATTCCTCCTATAGGGCAGACTATGAGGAGGCCTATGTTCAGCATTGGACTTTGAGTTCTTGTACACTAACGGATATTCATAATAAGTAACTCACCTATAATTTTAGGAGCGAATACGGCAACCCAATTTAGGGGATTCTCCTTCAACGCTTCATACATCTTTCTATGGTCTTCCGTCACCGGACGGTACAGTTCAGGCACTTCGTGCGGCTTGCAAAAGAGAAAACTAGATAAGCATACAGTCACATCTTTAACATTCTTGACCTTCATGGCTTCTAGTATGTTTTTGAGGCTTTCAGATAGGTCGGTGGTCGGCGCAAAGGACTCCCGGGTGCCTAAGGTGACAACGACGCCGTCTGTGCCCTCCACTGCTGCTGCGACGGATTCGGGCTTGAGGGCATCGCCTTTGAAAGCCTCCACCTTATCCTTGAAGTGATTGGGCAACTTGGCTGGGTCGCGAAGGAATGCCCGCACTTGTAGACCTGTTGAAAAACAATCATTATAACAAATAAGCAGCGATGTTCACAGCTGTAAAGTATATATCTTATAGTAGTGAGTATTTGTCATAATCTTAGTAGCTTAATGCTGCTGTGTATCGTATGGTGAGTGTAGAGAGCCGGAGACCCTTTTTACTGGAAACGAAGCATTCCATCTTAGTGCTCGCGGGTGACAACTCATCTGCATTTTGATTTTTAACCAAGGATAGATGTAGATGTCCATAGGCCATAGTATCCACTTATCGTCAGGTGGACTATGTGCTCGTTTGTCACCCTTGTTCTATAAAAAAAATGGAAGGCAGGCGGTTTAATGATTGCAGAATCACCAGACTTTTGGTTACTTAAACGTTGCAATTCAATAACTAGTACTTGGGTTTTTTACAACGGGTACAAAATAAAAAGTGGTAAAATTAAAAATTTTGTACAACCGACTTCAATATAAATTCTTACGAATAACTCAAAAATAAAAGAATGTAATAAGAATGAATAAATATAAGTAGTAAAAGAATAATAATAAATATAATTAAAGTATAAATAATAAATATAATTAAAGTATAAATAATAATAACTCAAAAATAACCCAAGGATAACTCCCATATAAATTTGATCAAGGTTTGACCACATGAGAAGCACCAGCTTTCTAATAAAAAAAGAACCATCGAAATCGGTTCACGCGGAAAAAAGATATGAGGTAACACACATAAAAAAGAACATACAGTTGAATTGAGTACCGTCTCCTACAAGTCGGTAGAAAAGTATATTTATGTCGGTAAAATATTTTCTATTTCCCAGTTGCTTTAATCATTTAATATTTTGTCTCACCCACGCAGTTACTTAAGACGAAAATCACATCATGTTAATAAATATTTAAAATAATATTCGCATTGTAGGAATAGTTATAGGTACCTTTCTTAATGGCTGCTTCGATTGAGCAAAGGCCAGTCATGCCAGTAGAACCAAAAATTACAATCTTCTTCATTTTCTGGAAGAACGAGAAAGAGTGATACATATAGTAATTAAGTAATTAATAAATAATCCTGTGACAAGGTTGAACATAGAAATCAATAAAACTAGCCGTCAATTGAATAGTTCAAATTCGAAAAAACTGTAGCATACGGAGATATTTACAAACTTGATAAAAACAGGAAGCACGTAATCCTCTGTAAGATTTAAAATTTATATAAATGAAAAAAAATAACTACTATTTTATTAAGTTTCACACCAGTACACATCAATCACACAGAGTATCTTTTTATAACCAAGGACAATACTAGCCGAAGCGCTATGAGGCAATGAAGCGTGCGTTAACATCGATTCATTTATTATATGTACGTCACACCTACATGTGACTCGTGTAAACATAGATAATACAAACAAGTTAAAATGATAAAAGTTTTGAGTCACAACATACCTAATATCATAGAATTATAATTCTATGCCTAATATCTTATGCGCCTTTATCTAGATATACAAATAAATAAAATTGCAGTGTCTGTTTGTAATGTCAAAATAACAGCTTTTCATTAAATGAATATGGAAGTATATATTTTAGTCTGTCTGTATGTTTGTTCCGGCTAATGTCCGAAATGGCTGAACCTATTATGACGGGACTTTCACTGGCAGATAACTGATGTTTATAAGGAGTAACTAAGGCTACTTTTATTTTAGAAAAAAAAAGAATGAGTGTTGTGGTGTTCCGGAACTAAATAAATGAATCAACGCGGCGGTGACAGCGCCCTCTCGCATCGCATTCACTTCTACGTGGAACGTAGTGCGAGCGGACGTTGTACACCAGTCGTCTCGATTACTATATATTAATCGTATTATTGGTGCTCCTTCAATTGTACATTCACATGTGAACAGCACAAGTGGCGACGAGGTTAATTGTAAGTATGTATAATGAATCTAATTATCGAATCAAATATATATTCCAAGATAAAATCACTGAAAGAAAGGAAGGTAAATAAAAAAAAGTGTTGTGATACAATTGTGCTATGCTTAGAAGTCTACAAAGTTAAATTTTGTACTGGAAAATAATAAACTAATAAGTAATTAATCGGTTATAGTAAAACAAGCATAAATCTCGAGTACGAGTAGGTACGTAATCTTTAAATTGAAATCTAGTGGTTGTATTTGATTCTATAATGTGATCGGCATAATTTAAACAATATATCTAGTAGTGAAGAGATGAGAAATTATCCAGCACTAACGAAATAAAATTACATGTCTGCATGGCAGTAGTTTAAACAATATACCTAGTAGTGAAGAGATGGATAATTATCTAGCACTAACGAAATAAAATTACATGTCTGCATGGCAGTAGTTTAAACAATATACCTAGTAGTGAAGAGATGGAAAATCATCCAGCACTAACGAAATAAAATTACATATCTGCATGGCAGTAGTTTAAACAATATACCTAGTAGTGAAGAGATGGAAAATCATCCAGCACTAACGAAATAAAATTACATATCTGCATGGCAGTAGTTTAAACAATATACCTAGTAGTGAAGAGATGGAAAATCATCCAGCACTAACGAAATAAAATTACATATCTGCATGGCAGTAGTTTAAACAATATACCTAGTAGGGAAGAGATGAGAAATCATTCAGCACTAACGAAATAAAATTACGTCTGTATGGCGGTAATTAAAAAAAGCAATATCACAAACGAAATAAAATTGGAGATATGAGTATCCCCATATACTTGTATCTACTACTGTGTTTTTAATAGTAGTGGTGCGGTAATTTTGGTACTGCAAAATGAAAAATTATCGGTCGGTAATAATAAAAAAGAGGTTGGTGTTTCTTTCTCAGTTCAATGGAGCAAAATTAATTAGGTATTATCAATGAGAGTGATTTGTTTAAAGTAAATTACTTCACTAGGCCTGACAATCTTAGGGCAGCCTGTGTTCAGCAGTGGATTCGTATTCGACTGTAGTAAAAAAAAAGAACTTACTGCTTCAACAGGAAATACATATTTGAAATAAAACAATATTAAATAATTATAATATATTTCATATGCTACTATAATCATCAAATGTTCTATTATTACATTGTTACTTATTTACATATATCACCAAATAGGTTAAAATAAATAAATAAAACTTGCACAGTTTTAAATTAGCTTAAATTAATAAACAGATATAAAAATCATAATAGTACGTACCTACTACTAGTTATTATTAGTTAGTAATATCCTGGGTATATTATTATAATATAACTAAACAGGGTAAAATAAATAAATAAAATTTGTAAAATCCAAAAGTGCACACCTCGAACGCTCATTTAATGTTTGAATAATTAATTTACTTTTACCAATCACCGAAACACATGTTTCTTTTAAAGCTACAAAAAATGTTTCTGTTTAATTAACACGATTTTTTTGACTGCTTGATACCGATGATTCGTATTTTGTTACCGAAAAAAATTGTCAATACCTAATTAAAAAAAAGGATATAAATGTACGGGACGGCTTACAAAAGTGAAATTCAAAAGGCTTCCTAAGGATTAAAATCTAAATAATAAGAATATAAAAATAAAAAAAATCAAAGTGGTAAATTCAGTTTTTCGAAAGATATTTCACATGCATGCCGACCAACTGAAGCCCAAGCGAAATTAAATTCAATTAACTTTTTAATAATAATCGAAATAAATATCCTTATTACTACGTCTGAAGTATTCACTGAAGTCTCCTCTTGCTATTGGTGTACTTTTTATTATATAAGCGCAATATGAATCTGGTGGAAGTAATTTAGGTTGTGATCGCGATTTTGATTTGGTGACAATAGAGCACTACATCTCCGCTTCGCATTCGACGTGTGAAATGAAACAAAATCAATATTCCATTACATAAATTATAATTTACTGCATATCGCCCAACTAAGTCAAAGTCAACCTCAGTAGAAACCTTTAATTGTGAGAGGGATCTAAGCTTTTGTCGGCTTGTGTTGGGAGAAATGGGAGCGAGACTTAAAGATATATTCATTAGCTTCAATGTCCCTACGCCAGCGAAAAGTTTTATTACGTATCGGTGCATAGCGCTATAGGAGATTTTTTATAACATCACCGGCGCATCAGTCTAACCAACCACCGAAATTAGATTTTTATTTCGCACCTAAGCAAACCTGTACTATGAACGTCACTTGTTAATTCAGCAACAACAAGTTGAGAAGTTCAAAAAGTTTTTATTAAGACTCTGTTATCAAAACGCAAAATGAGAGTTTAGCGGATAGGAGGCATAATAAATCAAATAATCTGGAAATGCTCAACATCTGAACTGAGAAAGAAGATACTAACTAAGGGTGATGTCGTTACCCTAACTAAAATCATATCAGCCCTTGAGACTGTGAACAGGACAGTTAAATGGGAACATAAAACAAACACTCAAATATATAAAATAGATGCCCACATATTCAACCCTGAATGCAGCAGGTGGGAAGTTGAAAACATAAATCTGACAGTTTTCTTGCCCAGCAAGGAACTATGTACCTAATGTGGCAAAAAGACAGATCCCGATAAAATTTGGGTAGTTAAGAATTTTAAGTACCCAAAAAGATTAAGCAACTAAGGGCCTTTTTAGGTCTTTGCAATTTTTATAGAAGTTACATTCAAATTATAATGGGAGTATAATTTGGAATGAATAAAATTTATAATGCCTCTCTGAGAACTGCATAAAAAGGGACATGTTGAAATGGAGCGAAAAATAACAAAAGGTATTTCATTTTATAAAACAAAAATTTATTAATACAATACAATCACATCATCCAGATTTTAATAAACTATATTATTTACAAACAGATTGTTCCGGTGTGGGTATGGCCGGAGTACTAAGTATATCAGACTAAAAATGTTCCGATACCACCAAAATACGTACTCATATATATGAGTAGCACTTTAAGCGTTTTGTGATACTACTCATTTGAGTACTCCCAAAAGTATCGATACTTCTTTTTACAAGTCCAAAAAAAACTGTGAATAAGTTCAAATAGTATAGTGAAATGCACAAAATAGGTACATACTATAATTTATATTTTTTATAATAAATAATATACTTATGAACGAACATAAGTTTCATTCTCTTACATCATCTTACACAAAAAAAAAAACAATTTTGGAATAGTTTCTCAAAAAACAGTAATTGCTCTAAATATTTGGATTGACGATGCAAAGATGCGTTCACAATTAGTGCATGATTCGATTAGATACAGGTTATTTTCCTTCGATACCGAGTAGGTATCGAAAAAACTTATTTGATTTTAATATCAAATTGCTTGATTTCGAGGAAAAGGTATCTAGTACTTACTTGTATTTACGTGTCAAGTCATCCCTGTATCAGATAGATGATAAAAATGAATGATAAACTAAAACGGTATACTTTGATAAATGAAATATATTGCATCACAAAACGAATTTAAAATAAATAATTTATAAAGCCCAAAACAATAATGACAGATAATGAAAGAAAGGTATATTAGTAAATATAAGTAACTAAACTTTATATAAAAAACTTAATAATAAATTCATTAACGAGAAATATTAACAAACTTTTACAAAACTGATCATTTCCAGACTCACTTAAAATAGACAAAGTAACACCTATTTACAAATCGGGACCCAAAATAGACCCGGGCAACTATCGACCAATTTCCGTATTGCCAGTATTATCAAAAATTCTTGTTAAAGTCTTATATACACGGCTACAAAACTACCTAGACTCTATTGATTTCTTTTTTAAGAGACAGTACGGATTTCGCTCTAAAAGTAATACACTCACAGCTACAATTGATCTCGTAACTAAAATCAAACATAACATTGATCAGAAAAACATCGTATTAGGAGTATTCATTGATTTAAAAAAGGCGTTTGACACCGTAAGTCATAAACTGCTCTTAAAAAAACTGGAAGTCATTGGTATTACTGGCATAGCCTTAAAAATGTTTGAGTCTTACCTCACGAATAGATCTCAGATCGTAAAAA